TGCACGACATAAAGCGGAGTTGGCAAGCGAGCGCATGTGGACAGAAATTTAAAAAGAACTTAAACCCGAAGACCACCTGATAATCAAAACTTGGAACACGCTTCCGGTCATATCACACACTGCAGCGTTTGAGTATTGCTGTATTGAACTTGTTTTGATCTATATATGCATGTGGGCAGTCATTCTCACGTCTTATATACATCAAGTCTACCCTACGATCACGTCTAACGGGGGAAAGCCTCAACGCTTGCATGAAGCTTAACCTCACCAACTACCCTGTCAAACTATAAAGCCATCAGCGAATCCACGCAGCACCAGAAGTCGCATTAACAATGAATATTATAAGAACATCATTTAAAAGAATAAATTCAGAGGCATTAAATCGAATTTCATCTTAAAATATACTATATTGCTCTCACTAAAATATTTTCCCAAATATTTGCTTTCTTGGCTCTCTGAGTTAAAAAGGTTGCCGACCCCTGGTCTAGGTGGATGGTGACGCTGACATTTGTGCTACCTAAACGGTGGGGAGTACAGCGCTGTGGGCAATTGCAGGGGAAGAAATGTGAAAGGTGCCGTCTTAGTGAGAGAAGAGAGCTGCGATGATTTGCGGTGGTAGAAGAAAAGGAGCACGGGCTGCTTTTACCACCGCCATCCCAAGTCCGCGCGCGAAAAGTGTCAGTTCATTCGAACAAACGATTCAGGCGCAAAGTCCGTTACCACAAAATCCTCGAATGCAGTGCCCTTCTGTCGCCGTTGTAGCCTTGCCTTTTGTGCCTCTTTCTTTTTCACCTTAGCTGTCCATTCTCCGCCTCGCTCACCGGCACCGTTATTCATTTGGACAGACACACACTCACACACTCCGGCACACCCACGTTTTTGCGCCAATGACCTTCAACCGGCATGATAATTTACAAAATAAACCCGAATTGGCCGCTACCCCGGTCTTGGTCGTCTGACCTCGGAGTAGTTAACCGTACATATGCTTGCACTTTAAGCGTATGGTGTGCTGCCTTTTCACCTATGCACTCTTTGAACTTGTGAATGTTTTTCCTCTTCGGTCACTGTTTTTCTTATCGTATTACGTCTGCGTCCCGATTTTAGTAGGGCGGGACTCTTTTGATCTGTGAAAGCAAGGTAGTAGATGGAGGCTATTAAAATTCGCCTGTTTTAAATGTGAAAACATTGCCGTTATTGGGTCTTCTGCCAGGTGAAGGTAGTGTTACCTTATTATCGCACAAGCCCAAAAATCTGTTATACGCAAAAGGTGGTATGGTGGAAAATATTTAGTTTTCATGCAGCGATAGGAAATAAAATAAACCTTCAGCTTACTGTGATCGATGCTTCACAGCTATTGAAAAGCGATTTAAATCAAACTATCTACAAAGCGGATATATAGATACTTAGATGTAACGGAAATTTTGTACTGACCGGGAAGCCTTTCACTGGTTGGATTGTTTGGTTCCTGTTTAAATATTGTGTTTGAGGCATATACTATCTCTACGCGCGAAATTATAAGCTTCCATTTTACCACTGGTTCCGTGAAACGTAACTCAGGGAGATTAGCCTCACCTTGGCGATACTTATAAACTATCCTTACTAGTTACCTATGCACTGAGAGCTTTCGTTCAATTGTTGTTTCTTCTCCCTCTTGGAACGCATGTCTGTGGTAGCATTAGCGAATGTAATTCCTGCGAAGTTTCGCATAAAACATGAATGCCATTGTTTTTTTTTCATCTGATCGGCTCTGAAATCTGCAGACGTCTCCTATAGGGTGAATCGACGCGAGCCAAAGTTGACCGCGTCGAACATGTCCGCCTGCCGAATTGGGTGGCTTTTTTCTTATTTTAATGGATAAAAACTCTACCTGACTCACCGTCTAGTAAATCTGAGCCTCACTTCTCCGTCTAACCTTCTTCGAAAAGCAGTGAGGACCTTATTGGAGAGCTGACCTTTTTGCGTCGTAATAAGTGGTGGTATAGTAGTGTCCGCCTACCGGACGACTGTCTGATGAATCACCGTCTTCAGGGGTCAGTTACTCCCGAAAACTTCGTTGTCTAGAGGCCCAACAGGCGCGTGTACTGTCTATTTTCCCATGTTGCCTGGCAACGTCCGACTTAGGAGCACAAAAATTCACTTTGGTAGATGAGAAAACTACCGAGTGTCGTTTCTTTTAAAACTGTTGATTGTTTCCCTGCTTTTGACGAACACTTTTTCGCCTATACCAATTCTTACTTTTCCAATAACGGTGTGGATGCTTTTGCTATCAAGTCTGCAATCGGTGGTGATTGACTGAAGCTGGACACTAAGAAAAACCAGGTGGGATCGCTGGGAAAATTAGTTTATTCGCCTAACGTTTAGAAATTCGTCGCGCATCCATCCTCAGAGATATTAGCAGAAACGGGTTATTCATACACCGGGAGTGGTAGTATCCATAGGATGCAGTCTCTTCATTTATACTTATGATAATTAAAGGCTTCCTCTGTCGAGGATAGTTCCCCGTTTCTGCGCTAATTGCCTGATGGCCGGCGTGTGGATTGTGACCTCCTGGTAGAATCTGGTGGGCTGATTGCTCGGCCGCCCGGCCCCTTAGTGCTGGCGTTAGACGACGCGTTGGCCTGTGCGTTCCCCGTGTGGCCAACTTTTCTGGCCAAACTGAATTTCAGCACCGAAAATTGATTGGGTGGATCGTGGCACTTGTTTACAGACTGGGGGTCTGTAAACCATGATTCAAGCAACTCGCAACTCACACGATTGTCACCTCTCGCGAGAATTTCGGCCTCATCAAAGTTGAATGTGTGGCCGTGTCTCGTCGAATGAGCCGCAACTTGAGAATTGTCTTCAAATTTCCGAACTGCTGCCGCATGCTCGACAATTCGCGTCTTGAGAGGTCTTCTTTTTTCCCCGACGTATTTGCTCCGTCATCAACTACATCAGACCGTGCAGTAGACTCTAGATCTGTCTTGCCATGACAGCTGGTCTTTTGATTTCGTTATCCGACGCCTTATGGCCTGTGTGCGACTCCAAATCCAAGTGGTGCGAGCTGGAGACTGTTGATTAGGAGATGATTTTGGCTGCAGTTTGGTGTTCACAGTCTGTTCCAAGGGCTTCCTACCCTCTTAGAACTACCCGTGGTGGTGGCGGTCAACGATGCCTCCTGCTTGTAGAGCACAATGCGAACGTTTCCTATATGCGCTTATTTCCGATCGACTTGAGACTACCGCCCTATGTTTTCCCAATGACTACAGAGCATGAGCAAGATCGCAGTTTTGTCTAGTTTGGGTTGTGGACGGCGTGCCGACAGCGGCAAACCGTTTTCACTCTCCACCTCCCTGTTTTGCAGTTTCTTTGCTGTCAATACTCCTCAATGAGTAAAATTACCCCCTTTTTGTCATTCACTTGTAGTTGGATGACAAGTTTGCAATCAGCTAGCTCTGATGAACGAGCCGAAGGAGGAGGAGGAGCAGAAGAGGAATCAATCGACCTAGACTCCGCGTCTGTGGATCTCCACGAGGAGCAGGAACCCTTGGATGGTTTTTATACTTTCGATACGATTCAAGCCGTCAGTGTGTGGCAGTGTGAGTTCTCGCCGTCCATTCGCGAGGGCATGAAGGCCTGGAATATGACGGTTCAGTACTGGCTTTACAAGACCATCTACTCACGCTGTCCTGGGCCACGACTAGTTCGGTACGTTTTTTAGTGGTGAAGGCAACTTTTTCCAGAGAGAAAGTTGGCTACTAGGCTGCGCAGCATCGAGAAGTAGGCATTGACAGGATTGAATTGCCGCCTGCTTAATTGGCCATTTTAGTAGGTGAAGTCTAAAATTAGTCGTACCAGCTCAGTGTATGTGATAACTTCGTTTCACTCGTGGTGTTTATTCTTTGAACTCATAAATGACACTGGCGCCGTTGAGAGACTTGCATATGACTAAGATTATAGCAGAGAAGACCCAGCAGTATGAAACGTGCACTTTCATACCAAGTTAAGTCCATCTCGGTTGTAGGTAGTGGTAGTAGTAGTAGTAGTAGTAGTAGTAGTAG